ACATGCCCCAAACACTTTAATGCTGTTCTTTCCTTTTGCACTATCATTACCTGTGCAGCACACACATAGGCCTATCTCCACCTCTGCACCACCAGGGGAGCATCTCATCATCCTCACTTCTCAGGCTACACTTGTGCATTACATTGGCTTTGGCACTAAAACAGGCTTAAGAAATTGCCCTCTGCTGTTTGCCTTGCCCACTCTGTTTATCCTAATTCATTTAACTGATCCCATTCCAGCTGATCCCATTAACACCGGCAAAAGAAGGAAGCAAGGGGTGGTAAATTGTGGTTGAAAGAGGGATGAATAAGCAATGAGCAGCTGGATGGAGAAGAAAGTGGTAAACATGAAACCACCTTTGCTGTTGGAGAGTGTACAAGGAAGAAATGTTCTCAAAAAGCTTGATTAATGGTAACTTTACTCCTTTGAATGCTTCTCTCTATTACATGTATTCCACTTTGCAGGATTTCAAAGTGGCAACCAGAGCACTTGGAGTGGGATCTCAGAGCCTTGAACAGACTGCATATGTTTCCCGTTAAGCTAAGGCAACTGGGAGAGGAAAGAACAGAGGAGTGAGAAATGCACAGCACCACACAGCACGAGGACAGGAAGCGTGCATATACATTCTATGGCAATGGGATAAAAATACAAACCCAAGTGTCTGCAGTACACAAAGGTGTGTGGAAAGAAACATACTTGGCAGAGAACTGGAGGAAGTGTGCTTTACCTGATACAGGAGCCCAGTTCTGACTGCTGCAAAGGTGGTTGTAATTCATGAATGTCACACAGGTAGCATGGGGAAAAGTGCACACATGAACACCATTGTGGTGGCATTTTGTACTTGTTGTGACTTGCTGTCAATGATGAATAAGCAAAGTGGTGAGGTAGCACGAGAGGCCACACAGGCATAAACATACACAGCTGGAGCACCTACTTTGTTCAGCCTTTTTGATTTCTGATGACTTTCTGAAACTTAATTCCTTATTAGTCTTCTTTAACCCAAATTTCTATTTTTTCACCTTCAAGAATGGGCTCACACATCCCAAATAAAGTTCTAATCTTGACTATTCATTCTGAATGTTTTCTTGAGCAAGCACAAGCTCAGCTGTCCTTCTCATTTGGGCAATTTGCAGGTCCCAGTGACTTAGCTATAGGATTTGCTAAAGGAAAATTCTTAGGCTCCTAACAATGAACAGGCTTAATATAGGAACAAAATTATTTAGGCTCTCATACATATACACTTGGTATAAAGCACTAACAATTGAGCATGCAAACTCAGAGGATGTTGTCCTGTAATTACACGCTGTTGATGCCAGGTTGGTACTTCCCAATCAAATCACAGAAGGGTTGAGATCAGGAGATACCTCTGGAGATTATCCACACCAAGACCCCTGCACTAAGGTGGTGCCTCAGAGGTGTGTACTGTTGGATTTTAAGTATCTCCAAGAATGGATACTTCACCACCTTTCTGGGCAATGTGGGCAAGGCAGTGCTTGGTCACCCTCACAGTGAAAAAGCCTATTTTAATGTTTAAATGGAGTTTCTTGTATTTCAATTTGAGCTTATTGCCTCTCATCCTGTCACTGAATGCTACCAAGAAGAGTCCAGCTCCATATTTTTTACATCTTTCCATCAGATCTTTAGATAATTTATGTAGGAGAAACTAGGGTGTAGGAAAAGGTCTACAAACACAAGGTTAAAACACAAGAGGACTTGACACATAAAAATATGCCCCACTCATGTTTTACAAATAATGTAATTAAAGTTGCAAATCCATCACCTAACTGTTTCAGCCAGGACTCTGTTTATCTGTTTATTTGTATATTCTCTATGTTCCTCTCCTGCTCAGTAATCACTGGGATTATTTGATAGCAACTAAGTTATTTCATCTTTACAAATAGGCCAACTCAATTGCAGTTAAAAACTTCTTCCACTTTTTGTGTGTGAAACAAGAGTCCAACCCTGACTAAAGACAAGCTGCAAAACTCTGACCAATCAGCAACCTATCAGTCAGCAAACTACATTTCCTGGTGAAAGCGCAAAATCCTTTAACCTTATTTTTTCTAAGTGTGATACAAACCAGGAAGTTTCTAATTTTTAGCAAAGGAACAAAAGGTAGATTTCTATCCAGATTTATACGTGTACCAGCAAGTCTTTCCAGACAGTCTAGGAAAAATTGTCAACAGTGTTGTCAGACTTCAGAGAAATAATGAGTATCTTATTTCAACAAATGGAATTTGATCACTAAATCCAACCTTCATGAAAGAGAAACGCAGTTGTAGGTTTGAAGCCTCTTATTCTTTCTCCCCCCCAAAAGCTGACAGTTAAAGGCTTGTAAAAGCTGATGAAGTTTTAAAATCAAAAGTTTCCAAATTTCAATCCAGCCCTCATCACCAATACCCCCACATTGTCTTCCCCCAAGTCATTTCTGGAAAAATGGTGATCATGACAAGGATTTCTGCTTGAGAGCATGATTTTCCTTGTTAATTCAAACTCAACAGACCTGTTCACCAAACATTCACTGAAAATTTGGTCTCAGCTAACTATTTTCCTCTATTAGGTTTTCCTTTCAGCAAAGTAAAACAACTATTGTGGTTTTGTCACAGCAGGGTAGGGGTTTTACATATATATATATATATATATAAAAATATATAGATTATATTAATATAGATTATATAATAATAATATATACATTTACACTCCTTTTGCATCATGAGCACTTATTAACTTGCCCTGAAATCAGAATGTACTGAATGTAACTGGTGTGCTGTGGGAGACTGTTTCTGGCTAAATCTGCAGGCCTGGTAATTAGAGATAATCTTTTATTTCCATCTGTACATCTTTGAAAGATAATAACCATAGTGCCCAATGACAGCATTTTTACCATTTTCCTTCAGAGAAAAACTGCAATTTCAGACATGTTAATCACGAAAAAGTGGCTCTCATAAAAGTCACTGTCAAGAAAACGAACGTAAGATGGAAGCACAATGAATATGGCAAAACCCCTTATTAGCCTGCAGGCCGGAGTAGAGGTGGTGTGAAACTGTAAAGCCACAGGCTTTAGAGAGCTGTGCTGATTAAGGGACAAAGCATTAAGAAAGAACACAGATTGTGAGAGATGTTAATATCAAAGAGTGACTGGAATTACTTAGAATGGTTCAAGGTAATAAATCTTCAGCAAATGGAATGTACTTAAGAAAGGAGAAATTTAGGTCAAATCACAGGAAAAGATTTCTAACGGTAAAGTACAGAAGGTTATGGAATACTTGCCTGAAGGAAGAGACACAAGGCATCTCCCTGGAGACTTTTAAAACTACACTGGAAAAAGCACTGAAGCATCTGGTACACAATAATCCCACACCAGGAAGGAGAAAGGCTAGATGATCTAACTGGCCTTTTCCACCTCTGCTTTCTGTGATTCACTGGTAATTCCACTGGCCAGTTCTGGTTTCAAATACAAAAATCCAACATCAACTGTAAGCATCCCCTGTTGAATGCAAATGCTCTTTGGAACTTACCTCTTTACCCCAGCACAGAATGCAAATGCTCTATGGAAATGCAAACAGATCCCATGTTTTAAGTTACTTTTATTTGAATATGTCTACCTTATGATAAGAAGATAATGCATTAGAATGTGACCAGTCATTATGTTTGTACTTACAACAGGGATCAGATGTGCTCAACCTGCAGTACTAGCATTAGAATTTCCACATTTTGAACGGATACTGTTTAATTGTGGTAGATTCTGTTATAATGCGCTAGGTATTGTTATAATATTGCTCAGCATGAAGAAGAGTGATATAATGAGATACTGTGACCTTTCAAAGGCAGCCTTACACCTTTTTTTCTCCTTTTTTTTTTTTTTTTTTTAGCTGATGCTCAAGGAATAAAGAAAAAAAAAAAAACCAACAAAACAAAACACCAACCAAACCAAAAAAAACCAAAAAAGTTGGTATATTTTACATGGAGTCCTCTGAAAATCTTACTCTTTCCACTTAAAATAATCACTATGTGGTCTTGATCTCATGTTTGGAAAGAGCTGCAGTTATCTGCCTTTCCGAAATCCACACAGACACAGGTGAGTAGCAAGGATTGGGCCAGCAGTCCCTCTAAACGTCACGAAAAAGGTGAATTTTATAAATGTACTAAAAGTGAATAAGGGCTGTAGGACTAGATGAAGATAAATTAACAAAAATCATGCAGAGTGCGCCTCAGCATTACCATTGCAGTTTGTATGAGGAGTGTCATTTGAAGAGGTTTCTCCCGATTGTTTCATCCTGTCTGGTTCATGCCATGGAGCAGTTTGAATCTGGATTACTTTCAAACGAAGCTAAACTAGAAGATGTCTTCCAGCCAGTGCTGGACATTCAGCCCACTGCTCCAGACCAGAGCTTGTACAAAGCAAAACATCCTGAAAGGGACATAGCGCGGTTCCCAGCACCAGCTAGATTCACTGTTCAGAACCACACCCAGTGCAGCACACTACTTGTTAATGTAGACATAGCTGTATCAACTCTTAACAGTTCCCTTCTCAAAACTGATGGTCTAACAAGACTGTTGGGAAATTATTGGAGAACCCAGAGCAACACCATGCCTACAAGGCGTCTGGCTCATCAGTGACATCTTTTCTGTCTCCTTCCTAAGGGAGGTTCTACTGATCAGTTCAGGGCTGGTATTAACTCAGGCAGTGATCCCGTCAGATGGGTTTACACCCAGCACATGTTCACTGTGTTGGGGAAGGGCATATGTAGGTGCTTCCAGCCTTCTCATCCTTAGACCCCAGCAGGTCCACCATGGGCAAACACGCTGCTGGCATCGTGATTCGCACTGCACCCCGCTGGTGCTCCTGCCTACTCCCTTTACATCTGTCAGACAAAGCCACTGGCCTGCACCCACAGGGGGGATATAAGAGAAAAGGTGCCTGTATTTCACATCCCAGCTTTGAAAACTTGTAAGCTTATACTTGAATCAGTGAACTAACAGCTACTGCTATCGCTCACCTGCTACACACTCAGGGTGAAAACTCTCATTCCATTTCTACAGCAAGATCTTAAGATGTGCTGCTAGCGCGTTAAAGACACAATCCTCTGCATAGAAAGTAGCGCACCGCTGGTGTCAGGAACATTATGTGTCACTGTATTTTCTTGGCAGGGCAGGGCAGGGCAGGGCAGGGCAGGGCAAGGCCTGGGAGCTCAAGCACCGGATCTGGACAATCACCACCTAATGCTTCCTGTAGCTTCAGCCTGTGAGAGCACTTAACACAGCGGCCTCTACGAGAGCTGCAACACGTTCTTCACCTCCCGTGAAGTGAATGGCCCTCTGGCCCGGCCGCAAAAGCAAAGCCCCTTCCCTCCACACCCCAGCCTCCGGCGGCAGCTTGGGCGCCAAACAAGCTGGGCTCGCCCCCTGTTTTCCCCTTAGCACTACCCGCCACCTCCCTGCACAAAGCTGCAGCCACCGCAGTGCCGGCGCCCCCCACCCGCCCCACACCACCAGCAGCCCACACCGGCAGCACCAGGGGCAGCCGGTCGGCCTTCTCCCGCCAGGACGGGTCGGCCACCTCCAGGGCACGGGCGGCGAGCAGACCTGCCCTCGGAGGGCCGGCCCAGCAGCCGGGGAGGGGCCGGGCGGAAGGGCACCGCCTCCGCTCGCCGCGGCCTGCGGCAGGACCGCTCTCTAGGGGCCGGGCGGCCACACTGCGCCGAGCCCGCCGGAGCGGAGCGGACCGTTCCGGCCCGGCCCTTTCCCGGCCCCGGGGAGCTGCAGGCCCCCAGGGAGGAGCCGCGGGAGGGGAACGACTCAGGGAAATGGGTGGAGGGAGAGCGGGTCCGGCAGGAGCAGCCCTGAGGGACCACTCCCGCTGGAGCTGGGATGGCAAGAGGGATCACAGGGCACCGTATATTAGAGGAGGATTAGCTCTCATTTGAGTAAAACTTCAGCAAACGGTTTTGAAGAGAACAAATGAAAATGATGAAAGTAAACGGAATATCAAGTAAAATGCAATACCTGTTCAGCACCTGCTGCAGATCAGGCTTACTATGAGGACGGTGAGGCACTGGCACAGGTTGCCCACAGAAGCTGTGGCTGCCCCATCCCTGGCAGTGTTCAAGGCCAGGCTGGATGGGGCTTGGAGCAACCTGGTCTAGTGGAAGGTGTCCCTGCCCATGGCAGGATGTTGGAACTGAATGAGCTTTAAGGTCTTTTCCAACCCAAACGATTCTGTGGTTCTATGATTGTCCTTTATTTTCCTACATTAACCCCAGCCCAGGAAAAGCCAAGCTTACAGTGCTGTCAAAGATGACACTGACAATCACAGCACTTGTCACACAAAAGGAGATTGACACATACTAGCTTACAGGGCCTAGCAAAAGAAAGAGGGGACAGGGCTGCTCCCTGCACAGGTATCACCACCCCAGAGAACAGGCTTCTCTGAAGACAGGTGAATACAGCTCAGCTGGGCATTACAGCAGATATCTGAATCACCCTCAAGTGATGACTGAGGTCCTGGAATGATCTTCCAATTAACACAGTGCAGGAAACAAGAAGACATTTGAAGAACTTAAAGAAGTACTTAGTTCATGCTGGTGTCTGCAGCAGTAATGACTTGGATGGCCTCTCAGTTTTACAGTCCTGTTACCTCTGTATTTCCAGCCTAGAAAGGATGAGGCAGCACAATTCTAACACAGCAAACCAAACATCTTTTGAGTGCTCTCCACTGACAAAAGGCATAAATGCAAAAATCAGATGAGGAGAACCCCTACTTGCCCATGCAACAAATGCAGGGTGGGGACACAGGGACCAGGCTGGGGCCTGAGCAGTGGCAGGCACAACCTTGCTGCAGAAAACCAGACCACTGACACAGAGCAGGCAGCATACATCAGCAGCGTCATTCTGTAGGGCAAAAAGCAAACATCCTTCTTGGTGTGTAACAGGAAATTGCTCTGCGAGACAAGCAAAGTAACCCTCCTGCTTTATTCCATACTATTAAGGCACCATTCATGAGCACAGCACCTCGGTTTTGGCACCACGTTTCAAGAATGATGTCAATAGCTGAAGAGAGCAGTGAGCATGATCAGAGGGTTAGAAAACACATCCTACAATGGAAGATCAAAAGAACTGCGATGGTTTAATCTCCAGATTAAGACTGAGGTGGAGTATGGTCACACTTTTCAAAGGAAAGGAGTAATTTGTTCTTTGTGCCCATCATGAAGAAGAAGTAATAGATTTAAATTGCAGCCGACTTTTTTAGTGATAAGCACAGGGAGACATTAAAACATATTGCCTGAAGAGGTTGTGGTGCATTTGTCACTAGAGAACAAGTTAAACAAACATATTTCAAGACTGACATTAACAGAGTGCAACTCTTAATGGAGAGGAAGCTGATGGCTGCCAGGGATCCACTTTTTGCTGTTATTTTATGAGACACACACAAAAAAGCTTTTTTCCTTCAAACACAATTAGAATTCAAAAAGGGGGGTTACTATTTCCTGTTGGGTTTTTTACTGGCTTACTGCATGAATTGAGAAACCACAAGTATTTCTGTACCTCAACTCCCCATCAATAAAACAGAGGTAGTAATACACAATTCATGAGGATGCTGCAAGTCTGTAGTGCATTATTGTGACCTTGTTGATGCTGGGAAAGGAGGTGGTATACAAATGTAAAATATTCCCACACCCTCAGTTGTTTTTTCATGCTTGCACTGCTTTAAATACTGTAATTTGTTTTCTTTTCTTCTCAGAAAGCGTGTAGGCTAAGCACACACTGTGATCCCTACTAGTAACACAAGTGCAGCTCTTCCCAAAGAGGAATAAACCAGGGTTCATGTAGTTTAATAGAATACTGAAGTTGAGAAACGCCTTTAGGTTAAAAACCCCACAAACCCTAACCATTAGGTTTCATACTACTGCAGATTTCTTCTGTCATTCAAATTTCACCAGCAGAAATTTCTAATTCAGAAGCAGCGCTCCTCTCTGCTCACCTGAGCATGTTGAAAGGTCTCCTGGGAAAGAAAAATCTACCTCCCAAAACAATTAGCCAACACTAGCGGGGATTGTTTAGAAGACATGTCCAACCAAAGCAGAGCTGAAGTACCTTCCAGTGTGTAACAATGGCTTATATTCACTAGAACTGTAAAACATTCTTTGTTTTCAATAATGTTTATAGTACTGTGTTCAGCTCTGAGGCCTCTGACACAAGAGGCATGTGAACCTGTTGGAGCAAGTCCAGAGGAGGCTATGAAGACAGAGGGCTGGATCATATCTGCTGTGAAGACAGGCTGAGAAAGCTGGGCTTGTTCAGCCTGGAGAAGAGAAGGCTCTGGGGAGACCTTAGAGCAGCTTCCAGTGCCTAAAGGGGGCTACAATAAATCTGAAGGGGGACTTGCTAGAAGGGCAGGTAGGAATAGGATAAGGAGGAATGGCTTTAAACTGAAAAAGGGGAGATTTTGATTAGATATTAGGAAGAAGTTCTTCTGTGTGAGGGTGGTGGGACACTGGAACAGGTTGCCCACAGAAGCTGTGGCTGCTCCATCCCTGGCAGTGTTCAAGGCCAGGTTGGGTGGGGCTTTGAGCAACCTGGTCTAGTGGAAGGTGTCCCTGCCCATGGCAGTGGGGTTGGAACTGGATGATTTTTAAGGTCCCTTCCAACCCAAACTATTCTATGCTTCTATGGTTCCTGTTGTTTGCATTATAATATAGCATTTTCAAGTCCAGTTCTGACACACATTTTTCCTGAACACACATATACAAGTATCACTAAAGGGACTGTCATTATTTACACATACCTTGTTCCTCCTGTGTGCATCTACATTTACATGTGTAATAATACAATCCTGGAAAAGTAATTTGGAAAATAGTTTCCTTTTAGCATACCAGCTGCTGAGATGATTAAGTCACTAATACTTTGTAAGTTCTCTAGCTCTCAAGAGTCCTCTTGCATTTGGTATTATTTGTAGAAGTGCAAAATCTCTAATTCCTATCTAGGTTAAGTCAAACCCCGCTGCAATCAACTCACTCTCTTAAAAAAAATCATTACAAAGACATCACATCAGAACTGCTGCTATATTCCATTGCTCTTTTGTTTTTAATAGCACTGCTTTTAAACTGATTACTTCTCATTTATTAAAACTGAAGTATAACAAGCTATGTTTAAAAGCATATTTGTGTTATTTTAACAACTAGAGTTCTGTACAAGAGTTGGATTATTTTGCTTTATACCAACATATTTGATGATGCAGGGGAAAGTTTCACAACTATGTGATCAGCCATCAAATGCTTATACCCCACAGGAAGTCAAGGAAGGTCAGACACTTAACCCTCACTTATGGTTATCAAAAACCTGTGCTTCAAGATGTGTCAGATATGTCTTTTGCTATTAAAAAGATAAATAAAAATCACAATGATTATCAGAAGTTGGGAAGAGAGATGATCAAATGTATCATTTATGGGGCTCCTCAATATTTAGTACTTTACATTATTTTCAACCTTTAATTTCTGCAGCTCAGATTCTAAGTAGGAGCACTATCACTGCCGTCTCCCTTCTGAACCTGGGGGAATGCTTCAACCTTCTTCAAAACCTTTCAGTGGGAACATCCGAGAATCAGTTCCCCTTGACTTGTGTCAACTTACTGCCAAGAATACTGTTTTAGTGTGCAAAGCTATTTGCATCATCAGTTCTTCATTGGTCACTATCAGAGACTGTGATACTTTCTGGCTAGCTGACACCACAAATCAGTACAATTCAATGATTCAAATTTAGAAGTTCTCCCAAAACTTTTAAGTCGTAGCTAATCAAAGTCCTCAAGTTCCAAACATAAAACCTGGAGTTAGGTAATACAGTTTCCTGAAGGAACTACAGAAGGGTCAAGAGTAAGGCAAGAATGACTGCAGTTTTGAAAAAGGACCTTGTTTGGGGATAGAGTCAGTCTAAAAACTGGAGTAGGGAAAGAAACAGAAACAGAAAGACAGAGTAGGGAAAGAAAATGAACTATCCTGACAAGCAGTGTAGGAGTGTGAATCAAGGAGGGAAGTTAAAGATGAGTAAGGAAATGATTCATTAAG